CCTTCACTGTAGGATATGACTTTATATGTTATTCTGTGTTGTTCCTTAAACATATGAATTCTTAGAAGCCTCAGAGAGCTAGGATCTTAATATTTAATGTCAGGGTTAATCCCAATAGAATGAATTGAATGAAAGAAAAAGCACTTTGGATGAATGTTGCACCACAGTACACTTGGAATTATCATGTCCTATCAGGAAATTGATTTTATTTTGACATAGCAGAACTTGTCTGCATGACAAAACATGATGTAATACATATTGTACATTCCAACTCACTTTCTTCAGCTTCACTGTATTGAACAAAGTGTCCAAAGGGACACTTATTACATGTTAATGAAAACAAATTAATTCCTTTTAAATATAGTTACTGGAGTGTTTTATACAATTTACTCACACCAAATCATGAATGAGAAGGAATATGTTACAGGTCATTATGTTAGTACATGGATTGGTTAAATAATACTTCATTCAAATTTGGGAAACCAAATCCCATATCAAATACAAAATCTGCTTGTTGTGCACTGTGAGTATTCTCTATATTGTGCATTGAATAACACTGTGAGTGTATCTATACTGTTGGTTTTTTTCTAGAAAAAATTCTAATGTAGTTTGGTACACTGCTATGGTTTTTTACTCAGCATAGAGTTTATTGTGTCCTGTGATGGACTGGTGTCCCATCCAGGGTGTATCCTGCCTAGTGCCTGTTGCTTGCTGGGTTAGGCTCTGTTTCTGTGCTGTCATTCAAAAGGATGAAATCATATTACTTGCAAAGTCCTATTACTTGCAAAATGTTTGATTTAGGGTGTAACTTTTCTTTTCTAGTGGATAAATTGATGGATGATTGCCCGTTATGCCTTCTGACATGTAAGGGCAGCAACATCCTGTTGCTGTTACCGTAACATTAGGTTTTTACAGGACAGGGTTGTTAGCCTTGTGCCCAATGTCCAACATGGAGGATTATTTAGTGGAGGAGACAGGCTAATACAGCATATACTAAATTCAAGCACATTTTAATGATGTTTTGTATGGGTCATGACTTATATTTCAAATCACTAAGACTTTTTGATTATACATTGTATCTGTTCATTTTGAGAAGTGTATGTATATATAACTACAATTTGCTCTAATGGATGATCTGTTTCAAAGCATGATTTAGTTTCAAAGCATGTATGTCAAAGAGCTCATAAAGTAAATTTTACATTCTGAAATGCAATTTCATCAGTCAGTAATATTCAGAAGTGGGAATCTCTAAGTTAACACTAATCATAGAGAAGTGAAATGACAGTTGCATAATTCACTTAGTTGTTAAAATTAAAAGATTTCATAACTATTTTACCTTTAGTGACTTCTGCAGTAATTTTTTTCTTCTATTAAAAGAGAGAATAAGGTTCTAAAAAGATATTCTTTATGTTTCAAGCATAAATGCATACAATGCCCTTATTTTAAATTAGCAACTGTAATATATTTTTTAATTTAATTTTTGGTAATCTGTTGCTGCCAATTTCAGAGGCAAAGTGCTTTGAAAAGATTAAAAGGGTGTTTAGTGCTGTGAGTTTAAGGTGGCATCACAGCCTCGTCTCCAGAAATGCTATTGAGTGCGCAGCCAAGTGAAGCCAATTAGAGACCCTTTCTATCACATAACAACATGCAAACAGATTTACACTCTTAGGAACTTCTGCCTTCACCTGCTGTGGGTTCCTGTGAAAAGGGAAAACTGTACATTGTTGAATTATGTTTTCCCACGTTTTCACGAGCTGACGGCTCCATTCAAGCAGCATTTATTGAAAAACAGGTTTTGCTTCTGTATCAATTTTCTTTTAAGTCAAAACAATTCTCAAACCTTTCAGACCAACCATTAGTAACACCATTTATTAACAGCAACATAATTTATGCCACAGAAAAGTAGATGTTTGAATTTAATACTTATTAGTACTGTATGTATAGAAAGACACAACTTATAGGTATGTATACATACACACTTTCCAAATGAGTAACGGGGGTTAATCCATCCAGGTATAACAGGCCGGCTGGAGTGTGATGCTCCAGTGTCGGATGGTCAAAAAAATTGGTGGCCCTTTATGGTCTGATAAGGGACCTACCTACTGTCACAAAGTATTCTTTCAAGACCCCGTGCAGACAGCACAAACCAGGAGGAGTGTGGAAGACACGTGGAAAAAAGCATGCAAAGGGGCTGGAAAGAAAACAGGGGCCGTGTCCAAGGTGCGCTGGTGTACAAGGGAGGTGTGTCCGAAGCAAACAGTCCAAGAGAGTCCGAGACAAATCCATGCATGTTCCAATGTCCAAAACCTTTAAATCTATCCTGACAGACAAACAGAGTTAAAAGCTGGAGCAGGATCCTACAGAGGGTCGGGGGAATAAAAGGGGGGGTCATGGGACCAGACGCTCCCTAATCCCGGTCTCAGAAGATCAGGACACCGTGATGAAGCCTGTGCTGTCGAGTCGCTCCTGGACTTGCGGATAGGCGGGCTTCCGGGCCTCCATCTTCCAAAGCTGAGCCCAGATTGGCAGGAGCGTCTGGCTTTTATAGGACAGTAGGCAGGAACCGGAGGCAGGTGCAGGGGATAGTAGAAAACTATGAAGGGCTGGAGTGTCCTTAAGAGGAGGCGTTTATGAGCATGATACCTACCTACAGTACATATACACAGTAATTATAGTTGTTAGAGTTATTATTTTGAATAAGGTTGTATCTTTACATTAGGATATTCATGGACAAATGTGTTGAACATTATCCGAATCAGTAAATAGCTCTGTCTTCTTTGATGAGTGTAAAAGAATAATCTCACAGGTTTTACACCAGATGCATTTATTAATCTGATGCTTTGCTTCTGTTGCATCAAGATAAGGTGTCACAATTTTTTCAGCCTGTGTTTAGAGCGGTCCTACTTTCGGGACAAGGTTCAGTGTTTGGGCTCACTGTTATATTAGATGTTTCATTTAATGGAAATGTTAAACTAAATACATGTATATGGTGGGTTGATAGTGATGTGTTTTTCAACTGATATAGTAAAAAGTCAGGAAAATAGTGGACAGGATGATTTCAGTCTTAGATTCCCTGCTTGATTAGTGTTCCTGATGCTTATCAGTGGATAAGCAGAACTCTTCTAACCTGAACGTTCTTGTTTTTGATTATTAGGTGTTCCACTGTAGGAACAGCCGATGACAGAATATTCCTCTGTACTGCACTGAAGAAAACGGCTTCTTACAAATTGCCTGTTAAATCTTGCAGGAATTGACACTTATACAGAAACACATAAAATGTGATGTTACATTATACAGAAACTATAAGAGCCATACTTTTTTACCTGCATAAAATCAACATAAGTGCAGTTTAAAAAGTGGAATTGACAATTATTTTATGCTTGCCCTTTTTAAAATCACCCAGTGCTCATGAGTTTGTGTCTCCACTACAACACCTTCATTGTGCCAAATGAACAAGGACCTGTGCATGTAAAGTATCTGCAAGCTCCACAGTGACACACAGGAGAGTTAGTGCGAACTGGTGGACCAGTGCATCCCTCTCTGATGTCCCTGCAAGCTTGTAGACGTCTGGTAGATTTCAGTAGTGGCTGTTAGCTTACAAGTTAAGGAGGCTCTGCCTGACTTAAACCCACTAAATCCAACCAACCCCCCATGTTTGCTGTTCACAGTCAGCCAGTGACATGGCCCAGGTGTGCACCTGGGTTTTGGGAACAGGGGGCTCTGAGTTCCCAGGTGTTTGCTTCTGATTGCATTGCTTACTGTAGCTTTCCTACTACAGTATATGCATTTCCAATCTTTAAGAGAATCTGCAGCTGATATTGCTCACTACTAACAGAAAAAAGGAGTAGGTCTCTCATAAAACAATTCATTATATTCGGACTCTATACAGACGTGTATTTTTCATTTAAATATAGGGTGTGATGCTTAAATAGTAAGATATGCACATTTAGTGTACCATGCCTGAGACTGGATTGTACATTTAAAGCTTGAGAAAATCAGTATGCACTTAGAAAAAATGTATTTTCTTTCAGCAGATAATTAAAATGCACTACTTTGTAACAGCCTAACGGCAAAACCGTGAGACATAGCAGGGAAGAAACAATCAGCCTGCCATTTCCAATCAGCCTTTCATTTAATTTACTAACACATTAGTTCACATTTTAAATGCTACCAGCGCAGGGATTTTCACTGAAGTTTGATACTAACTAATAACTACAGCTTCATTACCTTGAATTTAATTTAATATTGAAATGGAAACCCCATAACTCTGTTTAGAAGTCAAGTCAGAATATTAATGCAATCCACTCAATTATGTTTATTATACGTAATCAAATTCAAATTTTGTCTGTCAAGGCATTTTTCATTTTTAAGATCTAAATAACAAAAGTAATGAGTCAAATCTGAAGATTTTTCTTAGTTTCTGATTAAAATCTTAGAAACGTTCTTCTGTTTCACACATACCAATTTCTTCAGCAAAGTGTTCATTTTCAAGATAATATTTGGAATATTAAGAACATTTAATTTTTATACAACCTAAAACAGTTCAATTTTCTTTGTAATTATATGTTTTTCTCATTTAAAGTTGTAGGATATATTACTTCCCAAAAAAGAGACAAATGCTTGTGACCAATAACAATTATTAATGTACTGTAACCTTTCAATTTTCAAACAAAACAACAACAATAAGATTAAGTGCATCTAAGACTGAAAATAGGAGAAACCTCTTTACACATGGAGTACTGGAATAAGCTGCCCAACCCTGTTGTTCAACCACATCATTTAAGAAACCCCTACACAAGATTCTCAGATCTATTTGCTAAATGTTATTAAGTGAGCAATTTGGGCAGAACAGCCTCCTCCTGTTTGGATTTTTTCTAATTGTACTTTGTTAGATCTCTATGTATTTTCATAATAATTCTTTGGTAGGAAATTGAGTTTTTCGAGCTCATTTGTTATGTTAAATGTCAGAAATAAGTATTCAAGTCTTCTGTGTTGTCTAGGTGAGGCTGTTCCCAGCGAGCAGTGTTTGGACGTCCCTCCACCTTCTCAGCTGCCCTGCGAAGTGCCCTGTCCCTCGGACTGCGTTCTCAGCTCCTGGTCAGCGTGGTCAGCCTGCTCCCATTCCTGCTCCAGCAAAAGCACAGAAGGCAGGCAGAGCAGAACGAGAACGGTGCTAGCACTGCCAGGGCCAGGTACAGGCTCTTTTTGGTGATAATGTGGAAGCCATACTGTAGTTCATTTGATTTTCATTTCAAGTTCAAGTTTCAGTGATTTTAATGACAACTGCAATTGGTTTGATCATAGTGAAATGCCTATAAAAATTGGAAAGAAGTTTCAAATTAGTAGTAATAGTAGTAATTTGTTTTTGGCAATCTCAGAGTGTGTTTGGGATGCATTCTCAAACAGGGGAGGGGATGTTGCCTGGCAAATGTCTGGGTGTTTTTGGGTCACCATAGCCTGTGACTCCCGTGACTATGTTCAATGTCTGTAATCTCCACGCTCTCTCACCATTCTTGTGCAGTCTGCAAATGTCATCTGTTATTGCATCTTCTAGTCACAGAAGAGCAGCAGGATGTTCAGTGCCAATGGAAATCCTAAATGTGAAATTACATAAAATACAAAGAACATTTACAAGGCAGTCCAGAACAATACCATTCTGCCTTGTGAAATTGACATGAAAATGCAGTGTTTCCATAGAGCTGTGTCATTTAACAGTCACAGTAACAGCTGACCATAAAGAAATGCAAAAGTAGGTCAGTGGAAACGTAGTGGAGAAAGCAGAAAAGTTTAAGAAAAAAACATTAATCATGTTTTAGAGGTAACATTTTCCTGCGAATGACAGTTTGTCTTGGTTTAAAGCATTAGTCAAAAACATGGTACAGCATGAACAGAAGCTTTTTAGGTACTGAAACTAGGTACTTGGTAACCTGATTCTGTAGAAACAAAAAGGAGTAATGCTGTAGAGTAGTCTTTGTAGTTTTGAGTAAAATATTATTGATAAGTTAGGTGGCGACTTTGGGCTCAACGATGTAATGTTACATTTATAGCAACTGGTTATCTGGATTTAGGGAGAGCTGTGCTGTCAAATGGAGTCCTGAGGCAGTAAATTACTCTACAGTTGACTCTGACTATATGACATAAATCATGCATGCCCTGTTTCAAATTGCACAAGCACAAGTCTAATTAAGACGAAAATACACCTGAGCCTTGGGACATTCAGCTCCCACACAAAGTCACTTTTCACTTAATTGTCACCCAATTCCACCTTGGGAATATGTTTCCTAGTCATACATTCTGACAACACAGCTGAAATATTGTTAACCTGGTGTTTGCTTATTAATATTAACTCAGTCTGTGGTCAACAGTTGTGACTTACATTAAAATATTTTAGCAATTAGCATGTTGTTTTCTATAGAATTAGAAACATATTAATACCGTGACAGTTTACAACAATAACATTACCATCAGAAAAATCAGGTTCAGATTCAAAGAGGTGTATTAGCATGACTAATGAATTACAAACTTGCCAAGGCAATTGCAATTAACAAATCATTTAAGAACAATCACAGTAAAAACTATTATTATTATTTGAGAGGCTCAGTCTATGTTCCTCTGGCTGTAACTGGAAAGCACACACTGGGCTGCCAGTCAAGTAGGGAGACAGAAAAGGGTAGAGGAAGCTGTCTCTGGAGAACATTAACTCCACAGTAGTTGAGGATCAGCTTTATGAGCAGAAAGAGAGATAGAGAGATCCACCACCCAAAACCATGAGTAATATCCTTAACCTGTAACCCTGTAACCATATCTACAGGTTTTGCCTAGAATGCACATCAAAACTTGTGTCAGCAGTAGGGAATACTGAGTTTAATGCTTCACAACTCAGCGAAAATCGATAGGTGGCACCTGTGTTGTGTTACATGTTAGATGTTAGTAAAATGGTAGCTTCATTTAATCTGTTTAATCTGACTTGAGAAGTCATTTGAATTAATTTGTCATGTACTGTGAGTTGCATTGTAGCTTATACATGCCTGGACTATATATTGATCAATATTTGGTATCTAACCTGTTAATATTACTACTTGTCATTGAGGTACTGTAACAAGAGGGTAACACAGAGCTCTTTTTAGAGCATTTTTAGAGCTAGCCCAATGGGAAGAAATAACTTTAGGGTTTAACCTTTCCCTTCCCAGTCTTCTGTTCCATATTAGCATCCTTGGAGAGGGCTCTCTGGGGTTTGCCTGCACTTTAACATGTCTACCTACTGCAAGAGACAGCTCTTAGCCAGCTACCAGCGGGATCTAACCAGAGAATGATGTAATATGGTCACTTTCATGATGGAGAGTTTGTTGGTGTCCTCACAGTGTGTGGTCTTTTCTTTGTAATTTTCTCTGCCTCAGCTATACTTAAAGAGACAGATAATTAACTCAAATGTGCAAATTGCACACTTTACCCTCTCATTACCTTATATAGCCCATTAACCCCACATGCTTTCCTAAACAGTGACAGTTGCCCTATTACACCTCCATTACAATTTACTTTTCTCAATTTGCTTTCTTTCATTCTTCTATAGTTAATCTTGCAGTTCATGGAATTAATTTTCTTTAATTGGATCCTTTTCTTTTTTAATTATTTTATAAGGTTATTTATTTCTCCTTACCTTTGTTGCAATTGAATTGATCAATGATTTATGCCAGTGCTGTGTAACCTTTGATTTCCTCCTTTTTGTTTTACTCAGAGGGAGAACCATGCCCAGCGGCTGTGGCCCTGGAAGAGTGGAGGCTGTGTAATGACCACCCATGCTCTGCTTTTTACTGGGAAGTTTCATCCTGGGGAGACTGCATTGAAGACTCCTCTGTGACCAACCTAAATGCTACCAATAACTGGAATGGCAGACCAGCCTGTGCGATTGGTGTTCAGACTCGCAAGGTCACCTGCATGAAAGTCAATATCGGGCAAGTTACACCCAAAAGGTAATCCACAGGCTTTTGGATGCAATTTCAAATTTAAAAAGAATTCATATTGAACTGGAATGGATATGATAGATGCACCAAACATTGATTATTAGAATGTAGTTTAGACTGGACAAGCATGATATGCAATTTTACAGTGAAGGTAATGAGTGTCTTTTTTTGTTCTGTTCTGCACAAGGAAATGCTTCATTTGATTTTTTGTATCAGTGTTGCAGTTTACATTAGTTTCTGTAGTGTAAGGTAGATTAAAGGAGGAGAACCAAACTTTAATGTTCAAAACTGCCAAGTACTATTGCACTTCTCCATGCCCCCCAGACTGCCCTACACAAACACTTAAGGACCCCAAAGGGAGGGCGATGCCCTGGGGTACCACGGAAACAGTGATAAGTTACCCTCATCTTGACCCCAGTGCTCACAGAAACTTCCAATCCCAGGGGTCCTTCCTGCTTAACACTCGGTGGAAACAGCAAATGCTACATTATTTTATATTCCAGTATTTCATATTTTGCATTCTGAACTTACGGGAAATGCCATGTTGTATTTGTATTCGGCAGTTCAGTTAGTTGACTACAGGTCATCAACTCTTTAATACAGAGCTCCTGTCTTTGTTTGTCTTTGTAATAAAATATATAGATCACTATATTTTACATCAATGCAGTTCTATTACCAGCAATATCAGCTTGCTATCCACAGCAAATATGAGCAACCTATTAAGAAAATAGTCAGGTTGGCTTAAGAAGGGGATGCAGTTACAGCAAATCAGCCAGCAGAGGTTGCTATATGGTCTCTTTTTTGTATAAAGCCACACTGGATATCCATTATCTAATTGTTAGATTGTTGATTAAGGGTGTGGATTGAGCGTCCATTACCAGGGGGCCATGACTGCAACAGTCAACATCCAAGAGTCTGCCGTCCCGCAGCTGGTTTTTGGGTCATAGCCAAGAGCAGCTGCTGGAAGTTGGCCATGGTACTCTGTTGAACCTCCTGCAATGGGAGAGTGCCTCCCTGTGAGACTCTGTCCAGCAGACCACCAGACACAGAGACTGCAAGGTGCCGCCCCTGGATAAACTGCATCAGCAATGCACACAACTGTCCAGTGAACTGGGGGTGTAAAGTGAGGCCCTGCAGAACAGCAGATAGCAGGGGAATGAGTCCCTGAGTGGGGAATAAGGTGCAATTCCTATCAGCAAGACTAGAGACAGATGGTGATGCACCTGGGTCTGAGCCTTCAGAAGAGGGGGGAGATGATACCTGGCACTGTCTTTAGAGGACAAAGGAGATGACCTACAGTTACTGCCCTGGGTTGAGCCCAGGGAAGGTGAAGATATACTGCAGTTATCCATCCTTTATGAAAGACCTTGTAGAGGTGTAGAGATGGAGAGAGAAAGTGTAGGTAGAATGTCTAGCCCAAAAGCCACTGAAAGAGTGAGAGCCCAGTGAGTCCACAATCTCTCCTTCAATCCTGAGGTAGGAGATGATGTTTCCTGGACAACAAAACGACTCTTGCTGCAGGCCCTGTCCTGTCTGTAGGAGACAGCATGCCCCGGAGAACAGTGCTGCTATCCTTGCAGTTTGTTACATGGACAGTTCTCTCTGAAGTGTCAGTCTAACGGAAAGGTTGTCATCTGTGTGGCAACCAGCCTCCAAGAGGAAAGCTGGAGCACCTAGCCAGGAACTGATAGTCTTCAGCTGACCTTGGATGGATGGTTCATAGTGGAGTGTATTTTACCCAGAAGGATACCTTCTCCAATTCAATCTGTCCTTGTTTGTAGCAGGCTGATACTCTCCCCATTGGTGAGAGCTGAGGGGGGATTTGTGGCAGGGTTTTTATAAGGGGGCTGCTTTTACTGCCAAATGACCTCTTATTATTCTGAATAGCCACAATGGGTTCTGAAAATGCACATTCTCGCATGGGTATAATTAGTTTTGTCTAGTACATAAAGGGCATGCTCTGTGCTAGTGGTGGTTAGGAAGTGCTTTTCTTTTTATGTTAAAACCTGTAAAACCTGCAATATCTTCATTCCATTGACTGTTCATCAGACATCAGATGGTTGGTGTTTCCTTATACTTTCCCTCCCTGTGGTCACATATCACTCACTGTGCCTGTTGTTAACCAGTCACTCTACAACACTACACAGGGCAGAAAATTGTTGCTCAGTGTTAACTGCAGCAGTTAATCCTTTTTAGCAGAATCTTCAATTATCTTTTTATTGCTTACAACTAACATTCCCAGTACTGCCTTCATTTACTGCTGCTCATAGACATTTATTTAATGAGCTTGTTCATTTGTTTTAGTTTCTGAAAGGTGTATTGTGGACTTTTTAATGGAAGTTTAATTTTTCCTAATTTAAGAGAATTCATACTTCTCTCTATTACACTTAGATGAACTAGACGTCAAGATAAGTTGCCGGTATTTTCCATGTTTCATTAATAGAAATGATATTGGATATACAGTATCCACAATTTAGACACAAATAGGTTATATAATATTCATCTATATTTATAATATTCTTATATATTCTTCAGTAGGGTTTTTACTTTACACTTCCTGGTCAAGTGAATAGAGCATGAATAGCACCCCAAGCAAAGAGTCTTTATGATCAATAATAACAAAACTGAATAATAACTAGTTCAAGTACAGTAGGCAGTTGCGTCAGCATGAGTAGGCTGCAAAGGAACAGGTAATAGTTTATTCCATGCTGAAAGGAAAATATAAAAAAGACACAATGTTTCGGCTGTGCAGTCTTCTCCAGGTGTGCTTCAGGTGTGTCTCTTTTTCTTTTCCATTCAACATGGAATAAACCATCACCTGTTCCTAAATAATAACTATATTAATAGATAATAAAACTGAATTATATTCAGTACTTAAAGAAATATATACGTAGGTGTGGTAGAAACCATTTATTTCAGTGCTTAATATTCTCTCAGTCCTGAAGCAGTGTTCATCTGGGCTGTGAAGGATTATTTTTAGAGCCTGAGATGGCATTTCAGTTTGAGATCAAAGCACTGCGTTCTTCCATGGGCCAGCTTTGTTGTGCCACACAGGAGCCTGCAAGTGAAATGGTTTCAAAGCTGCCCCAAATCACATCATTGATCTGTATGACACTGTAATAAGGCAGTAATGAGATACTCTTTCACTACAAAACATTTGATAATTAACACAGACAGTGCCAAAATGCTAGAAGTGGTTTTGAATTATTAGAATGACGGCATTTTTGTAATATGGCATAGCTATAAAATTATTTGCAGTATCCTAGAAAATCATTTTTATTTGCTCTATCAGGAAAGCTTATTTAAAAATTTACCCATAGATAATCAGATGTTTGACCTTCTTAAGGGTTAAAATAATATCATATTTGTATGAATATGTCCTTGAAGGGAATTATCCTAAAAATGTGTTTCCCATGGGTGATTCAATGCTACTCCACAAAAGACGAAAGTGCATACAGTATACTGGGTTTAGTACTGTATGTGCTCTGCAAGTTAAAGGTACCATATTAGTGTCATGCAGCATTAACGTATATACAGTATACATAGTTCTCGTTTCCGTTTTTCTAATTTATTTATTTTTCATAGTATTAAAATGTAGTCTGTATTATTATTGCTGTGGAGACTAAAGTCTCCAAACTGTAAACATTCACACGGTAAAGGACTAATCGGCTGTTATGTTTCACTGACATTTTGGTTTAGAAAAAAACATTTGATGAGCTTCTTAATGACCCTCATCCCCTTATAACCACTGTTGGTATATACTCTAGTGGAGACTAATGTGCTTTAACCATTAGGTAAGCTGAGAATCTCTGTAGTCTGACATTCATCTAGTAGCAAGCACAACTCAGAGATTCCCTTTTCATCTCACCAGTATCATTTTGTTAGTATCCCAAACAAGGGAGATGGTACTAATTACAAAGTACAGCACTAATGAGACCAGAGAGTTCAGATCAGCCCGCATGTGTCATTCTCCTAAGCGAAACGATCACCCTGTTAAACATTAACAGACCTTGTCAGAACTTCGGAAAGTTAATTAAAATTGTAAAGATTAATTGAGATTAATTGTGCGAGATAAAATGGGCCTCTTGATCATGTTTTTCTGCAGGAGAGTGGTTGGGAGTTCACACTGCAGTGGTTTATTAACCTAGCCTTATGGTCTAACTGGCAAGTGTACAAAAATAAATTATGTACAGTATGTACTGTAACGAGATTATGTGCTACATCAGACCTCTGGAGGATCCTCCCAGGACCTTGTCTACACAGCCCACAAATCTGTCACTTCAAAAAGGTGTCTGTAGCTAAATGGACCGGTCTTGTTATTTTTGGGAGACAGTCATTGTATGAGGTGAGGTAGGACTCACCCGCTTAGAAAGAACCCAGAATGGTCTGAGAGAGATGTCAGGTTCTTGAATGTATTCCCTGGATATTAACTCCAAGAATGGATTTGGTCTATCTGTAATGGATTTGATACTTAAGCAGTCTCATTGACATCGGAAGTGACATCTGCAGAAATGAAGTAATAGGACCTGAGTGGACCTTTGAAAGGTTACAGTAGGTCATCTCCTTTGTCCTCTAAAGAGCCAAGCGTGGGCAGTGCCAGCTATAATCTCCCCTCTCTTCTGGAGGCTCAGACCCAGGTGCATCACCATCTGTCTCTAGTCTTGCTGATAAGAACTGCACCTTATTCCCCACTCAGGGACTCATTCCCCTGCTATCTGCTGTTCTGCAGGGCCTCACTTTACACCCCCAGTTCACAGGTTTCTTCTAGAGACACTAATCCAAGGCAGCTTCTTTGAAGCTGACCATTAAAACTTTATTACAAGTTTGGTACAGTTACAAAGAAACAGCAGGAGGCAGTTTCTGAGATTGCCGGAAACAGCTCCTCTTAAACTGTGATTATCAAGTGGATGATAAGATCAGTCTTTGATATTTCTCTAAGAATTAACTCTGGGTTTAAATTGTGAGTTTAACATAAATACATATAAAAGGCAAAAAATAAATAGCTAAGAAACCACTTTTCTATCACTAAAGTGTGGTACATTCATTTTGAAACTACAGGAATGTACTTTTGTGGCCTGTATACATTTACTGAAATCAAAGGAGAAGTCCATTGTATATTTCTCAGGACACAGGATCTGTGTGCTCAAAAACCCACTGTTCTTGACAGGCGTGTGCTCAGCACTTGTGGGGTAGCAGCCTTATATGGGTCCACAAACACACGGTCATAGGTCCTGAGCACTTCGAGAAGGTTCTGCTTTCTCCCATGTGCTTCTGATTAGAACTCTGCTCCTTACATCCCCACCACACTTTTGATCAATTAATTTGCTAACAATCTAGCCAATATTGACTGATGTGTGAGACCATCAGAACGATGGCAAACAAAAGATCATTCACATAGTCTTGCTCATTTTGTTATTTAGTAGCAGAGTCTGAATCCGGAGTTTTGTACAGCTGATTCTTGGAGGATTTGCTTATTCCAGATGCTTGCAACTCTTTGTGTAAAGAAGCACTGTGTAAAAATGGGCAGGTAGGAGGTAGGGATCCTGTGCAGGACTCAGGAGAGAGAGAACACCAATCCAAATCGCTAAACAAAACATATTCCAGGAAACAAGCAAGGAGGTCAGAAAACGAGAGGGACAACTAGAGGGCAACAACTTGAAACGGAAGACTAAACGAGGGGCAAGGGGTGATACTGTAGGTACAGTACATGGCTTACGGGGTGAGCATTTGTTAAACACAGTGTGGGTGGGAATGCGAGACAGGTCAGAGACGCATGCAAAATGCGTAACACACTGTCTGTTGTCCGTAGCCGATTGATTCCCTTTACATTTCTATTTGTGACCCGGTGTACATATTATTCTTCTGAATGTGAAATACAGTAGTCCCTGTCTACACCTCTTAGGATTTTATATATGACAAAAACTGGAATCTTGTGTGAACCAAGATGACTTTTAGGACTTCTGGTTTGTTACAACTTTCTAAATCTTCTTTACTTGAAACTACACAGTACTGTATGTGAACTAAAATGAAACATAGTAGATTTTTTAAAAGCAAAACAATTTCTTTGACAAACTCTAAACATGATAATGAAAATAAATATATTTTCTTACGCAAGCTGCTTTTATTCAGAGATTATCTAGCCACTACATACAGTATATTCACTCCAAATATGGTAGGTAGCATTCAAGTAATGATACAATTTAGTGTTCTTAAATAAATTATATCTGTGTGACTACCTTTTTTTTGTGCAAAATTCAAGCTGTTGTTGGGGGAATTGCTGAGCCAATTGACTTGAAACTAAACAGATTTCATCATACACAGACTTGTTGCAGTCCTGTAATCTGTAGATTGTGGTAATACTTCATATACCAAGACTTCGTATGCTTGGGAAAATATGCTCTACACAACTAGCTATTTGTTTTCAAAACTACTTTAGACAATCAATTCCAATAAACATAGTTGGTATTATATTACTGTCAAAGTATTTACAACACAGTGACATAGGGCTCCTGCTCAAATCAGTTTGTCCCCTTGTCGACATACAACCTAACCACTAAAATTTTCCCTTGCCAAAATTTGTTCAGCAGAAATTGACTGATAACTTTCTGGGGCAGTGCAATTTAAATATTGCAATGTGGGGTGGCTGCATAATTCAAGACACCTGTCCCACCACCAGTGTTTTTATGACTATTTAATCTGTATCTGACAGGTTTCATCAAAGCTCAAACCTGATAAAGATTAGCACCTCATACATCACAGCGGTTCCCCATACTCACACCAGGTTATCGCATGTTTGGAAAATCTGCCCAAATGGAAACTTTGGTCTTACAAGCTCTGCCAGCATCTAGATTTGTTTATACTTCTGGTGTCTTGCAACACTTTGTGGGAAGGGACTTGCTTGTAAAGCTTTAGAACTTCATGCAGTTTTTTTGATCTCTAGATAACATCTACAAGAATAAAAATACAGAATGTATAAAAGGAAGAACTCCATGTGTGAATAAATCTTGGCTCTCATTCTGACAGATTCTTTTCCTTAGAACAATATCCAAATGGCCCTACCTTCTCCATTTTAATAATAAAACAAAATGTAAATTATAATTTCAATTGGAGACCTCCGTCTTCTTCTTCCTCTTATTTTTTAGTATGGGGGCATTGAAAGTTCCAGTTAAGACTATTTTTTTGTTTAGACTATTAAATCAAAACTCACATAATAACAAATTTAAATTGATGCTGTAAAACCTTTAGATAAAGCATTTATCACATAGTATGTCTTTCAAATGTAATTGATTTTGTGAAAAAAACATGGTCCACTAGCATTTTAACAGGCAGTCTATTTTTTCCTGCTTATTGATGGGAGCATGATTATTAAGGATGTAAGAATACCATTATCAGCATCAGTTTGTCAAATGATAGGATTTCAGAATTTAATTCATTTAGATTAAATATGGTCCAAACAGACACTTGCCCTTTTCAAAATACAGGCTGAAATGCACAGTGGAAATGAAAATTGTACTGAACATGTTATTTAATCGTTTACTATAATCACGTATTAAGCAGTTTAATGTGGATTGGTTTGTTTGAGATCTTTCCTGTGAGGTCTGTGGCACTGAAGCAAGCCAAAACAAAGCAATAAAGATTTTTAAAATCAAAGAATGTAGAGTAGAAAAAGAAGCTGAGTTGAAAGTCTCCAGTTCCTTTTTAAGCATTTACAGATGAGCACATAGTACTTGACTGTTCTGCATCAATTTTTAAGGGAAACCATCTGATGATGAAATGTTGAGTAAAACATCCTGGCTTTACTGGACTGGCTGTGCCACAAACCAGTGATGAAATCGTCTTCCCAGGTGCAAATGAATGTTAATGGCAGAGGCGAAAGTCTTGTCTTTTCCTTTCCTGCTTTTGAGCGAATGCAGATCACGGAATTACTTACTCAGAACACTTTGCTGCTTTTTCGTTCCTGTCAATGTTCTGTTCAGAAATTAAGTCTTTTCTTCTGTATGGATTTTTAATAGAAAGATTAAAAGAAATTGTCCATGTGGCAGTAAGTGGTGTTGGCTGCAGGCAGTATTTACATTCACTGAGCCACTCAAACATAATGACGGTTTTCTAAATCATGATTTCACAGCACTTGCTCTGTCCCTGAAGACCTTTTGTCCCTGTCTATTGAGTTTCATTCTTTCTGGTACAACAATACTAGCAAATACTCTTATTGAATATGGATTTCGTTACTGTTCTCTACCGATTTCCGCTATGACTTTAATTTGAATATTATTTCTTATGTTAATGCATGCAAAATAATTATGCAAATAATAATAATTCTGTAACTTTGCACAAAGCTATGGGCCTATCTTGGGAGTTGGCTTGTACCCATTGTTTTTGACGCGAGCTATTTGATCTTGTTCTCCTTTAATTTAGATCGTAATTTGTTCTAAGGTATATTGGATACCCCAAAGCACAGCTGCATGAACCCCTTTTTATTTTTGTTGTCTTTTCTGCACCTCTGCATTCTGAGAGGATTTGTAAATGAATATGAAACACTAGAAGGTCACAATGTTTTTTATTTTATCCTGTTTCTACTTGATTGTGTTTACAAACATCACTTCATTTCTGCATTTGTCTTTAGTGTTTTACGATTTATTGAAATGTATATCTAAAACTAGGAATGACTGAAGAAAAAAATTAATTGGTGCTAGGGGACACTCCAATATTTGAGACTCAGCACTGAGTATCCTTCTGTTGTGATGCACAAGGGCACTCATAACACAGGTGCTGAGAAATACTGTTCAAGCTGTGTTATGCAAAGTCTGAAAAGACTTTCAAAAGTGTGTAAGTCTGACAGATAGCACTCCAAAGCATTCCCTGTCATTACATTACTTCTAAAATCTGTCAGCAATTGATTCCAAAAGGCGAGAAGTAATTCAGTTTATGAACTGACAGAAGAATAAATTGTATTTGTCTTTGCTTTGAATCGTTATTTTGTTTGAAACATGAGCTTTTTATTTTTTATGTGAAATGTAGGTGTCCAGATTCAACGCGGCCAGACGCAATTCGCCCATGTTTGTTACCCTGCAGGAAGGATTGCACTGTGACACCTTTCAGCGAATGGACTCCATGCCCTACTGCATGCCAACCAGGTATTGTTTCAACTAATTCATCAACAATCATTTATTTGTATAGGAACAAGTAATAGGTTTATTCCATGCTGAAAAAAAAGAAGAAAGAGAACACAACATTTTGGCCGTGGAGCCTTCTTCAGGTGTGTGAAGGTGTCTTATTATAATTATAATAATTTATTATTATTTATTATTGCATCACATCACACAGCTGTGAACTTCAGCTGTAACTGAAGATCCTTAACAGGGTAAAGGTTTGCTTCCTGGGCTGGGTCCTCATATCATTGCATGATTCACTTGTGCTATTGCAATGAGCCTTACAGCCAGTAAGACAAAAGTCATTCTCTTAGCTTAAATTCAGTTAAAAGGCACAGAAAGACCTCACAGAGGTATTGTATTAGTGTGGTGGTATGGCAAACATCAGTATAGTGCAAAAGATAAATTCAGGATCAGACAAGTATAGACATTATCAAATTTGCAGGAAGCAAAAGCTTGTTTTGGCACACAACACAGTGATTTCCTGGTATTCTCGATATAACCTGGGAAAAACAATCCCTTGTTTTTCAATTTCTCAATTCTCCTCTCTTGGGAGTAAGTCTGTTGTAGCATCTTTCACAGTGGTGACAGCTTGCCCTCTCCCTGAAACTTTAAACAGACAGATATACAGTACAGTGTATTCCTGCAACATGCTTCTGTAATTTAAGAGCAGACAGCTTTTGGTGTGTGGGTCTCTAAGGGCTATTGCATAGCAAAACTCTTGTTACATCCTTGGGCTGTTCTTTAAATTCCTTCATTTGATGATTGCTTCTATAAAAGTTTGAAATACAGTACAGCAAGGGAAGCTGTCTCAAAACAATAAAAAATAAAAATAAAAGAACTACAGAGTGCTACTGAGGCCTGGCTTTGACTTGATCTCCAAATGATTTGATGTTGAATGCCATATTTTAACAGTTTGATAAATACTGCTACAGTATATTAATGCACAGTTATTGTAAAATATCATTGTGTATTGGGTCTTACTATAAAGCAATTTCAGTAATGTATTAGGAGTTTAATTCTAAAAGATAAAGAGGCTTCCTCTTTGAATAACATTTTGACTAATTATTTCTAAATTCTAATCTTTGGACCAGAACAAGTCTGGATGCTCTCATTTGTACTTTAAACCAGTAAGACCTTTCTTGGAGCACAGTGAACATAAGTCAACACAAAATTCCAAGTAACATCTAACTAATGTCTAGCATCATTTTAAAATGACTTGACTTGCTTTTATGCTCTGAACAAAGTGTCCAAGTATTTTCCTGGCCTTTTTCATCGCTGCTCTGCATTATCTATTTGGAGAGTGATGTCAACATAAAACTCCTTCTTTCCCATGTCTTGCTTCCTCCAGCTAATATCACTCATTTCACATCTGAAATTCACGTTCTAGCTCTCTGCATGTAATACTTTATACTGAACAACATTCAATTCATTTTAACAGGTGTCATTTGGTTCTCAGTTGTGTCTACATTTTCTTGTATTGCTTTGCACTGCTGCAAGATAATTTGCATCTCCACCTATTTTTGTAACATCTGTGAATTTTGATCACTATACAAGAGATCATTAATGTCAATTAGGATTATTGCCTTTATGACCCAAGTTGGGGTATGCCAAAAGACAAATTCCTAATACAAGAAATTGTATATGGCCAATAAAGTCATCTTATCTTGTCTTGATGGCCTCACTCCAGTCTAACGAAAAGGACTTGGTTGGCTGTGTTAAAGCTACTTACTGGATATTAAGTGTTATACATGTATAAGTGCTATACATTCTAAAATGAGGAAAGCAATAAAAAGTTTTAAAAAAATAGGATATATGGTGAAACGAATCACTGATGGGTGTTAAAATTGGGCAATGCCTTCATTTAAAATCCTGGGACTTAAGGCTAGGTCTTTAACCAAAAGGCTGGAGGAACTGAACCTTTCTAGTTTTGGACAGAGAAGACTATGAGTGTGGACCTCGTTGAAATACTCAAAAGCTTTGAAGGCATTTACAAAGTCGATGTGGCGGTCTTTAGAACTAAAACAAGAACAAGAACTAAAGGAGACAAACAAAATCTATGTAATTAAAATTTAAGGCTGTGTGGAGTCAAGAGGCACTTCGTTATGTAAAGGATGGTGGGAGTGTGGAATAACCTGTCAATACTATGGGTTCTCCTGGAGCTAGATGGGCTGAGTGAACTCTTCTCGTTTCTCATTTGAAACCTTTCTTATGTAAATGAGGTAGGGCCAATGTAAAAGACTGCCTTTCTTTTATGAGACTATATTAAATTCTGTTCCAACTTTGACTTTTGTCGATTTATATTTATATATATTTGTGCTTTGTATGTATGTTGGTGTAGCGTATGGATATGTTTATGCTGTGTGCATATTTTATTTCCCAGCCAATGCAACTGCACCTAAACAGTCCCGCTACAGGATTGTTATCCAGAAATCAGCCAATGGGGGGCAGGAATGTCCTGATACTCTACACGAGGAAAGGGAGTGTGAGCCTCTTCCTCTTTGTCCGACCTACAGGTAAGTATTTTTTAGCAAACAGAGCAAAATCTCAGTACTGAAATAGTTTGGTGCACTAAGCAGGGGTCTCAGACTCAATTCCTGCAATTTCTGCAAGATTTAATGACTTCTAGTTTTTGTTCAACCTGAGCTCAGATTTCAGTTTAATTATTTAACTGAATAACTTCAATCCTTCTAACCAACAGTAAATGTCCATAAAATAAATCCTATACTTGTCTGAAATGAAATATGTACTGTAGGTTGAATGATTCAGGTTAGATCTAGTGAGGATACTAGATCCTCCAGAAATTGAGTTTGAAACACCTCTGTACAAGCTAAAATTTGAAAAAAACTACAATGGAGACCATTTGTTCTAAAATAAGGTTCATACTATTTTCAAAATGTTTTTTTCTACAATTGTTGTATTTACTGTAATTTTCTCAGCGCCTTACAGGAGTATAGAGCTTCCTGTGATTTGGACAGCAAGCACAATGCTTATTGTTGCTGTCCACTGTGCTGCATGTATTCCTAAAATATTTTCTCCACACCCATTTTATAATTTGTATATTTTTATTCACATTATTTCACATAATTCACAAAAATTAATGTGACAGTAAAGAGTAACAGTAAGAGATGTGTTTTATGATGCATTTTCCTAAATACATTTTCCGCTTTCGTTTAGCATAACAGAACGTGTTATTGTTCTTATTGGAATACAGTAGTTTTAGTTTTTTTCTGCACAGAATATACATGTGTTTTATGTTAAATAATGCGCTTGCGCATGGTGTTTCAATGATATGCACCACACAGTGGCCGCAGTAAGTAGCAATGTTTATTTTGCAGCCTTTCAGTTTGTAACCAATTTATTGTTTTTGCTTCTGTGTAACTAATACATGGTTGTTAGTATAGCTGGTGTAGGTCGTGAAGCATATTTTGGTTTCCTTCGTAGGTGGATTATCCACAAGTGGCAACAGTGCACAATTGTGCCAGACTCAGTCCGACAAGGAATAACTGGAGTTGGGGAGTCATGTGGGCGAGGTCTAGAGGCGAGAGGTAAGATTCAGGCTAAGATACATGAGTTCAGATTCTCTCTGTTGGACAAAACAAAAGTATTGTATACATATATTTTAGTAGACACATGGAACCACAGAAAATGAATGAAACATTTTAAAAAGAAAGACCTTGGTGGCAGGTTTATGTTGAATAGAAGCAATAATATGGAAAATAAAATACTGACATAAAGTCCAGAGTTTGTAATTTCCTGTTAGTCACTGGATTTGTGTGCTTAATAGAAACAGCACCTGTTGTTGTCTGGAAAGTGTCCTTTCCGGACCCTATGCAGACAACATAATCCAGGGAAAGTGAAGAAAACATGGGGAAAAAGGCATGCAGGAGACGGGAATGAAAACAGGGGGGCGTGTCCATGGAGTGCTGGTGGTCGGGGGAGGTGAGACCGAGGCAAACAATCCAGGGATGAGTCCAAAGAGAGTTCCAAAAACCGGGCAAAAGTCCAAGGCCAGGCAATCCATCCCAGACAGACGATTAAAAACAAGAACCAGGTCGGGACCGGCAGGGGAAACAGGAACAGGAACAGAAACTTAAAACCATAACGGAGCCAGGTGCATCCAGGTCCCTGGCTCGCATGATGCGGGAACCAATGCAGACAGATTAGCATCAGCGTCTGGCTTTTAAGGGGGAACTGAAAAGGGGCTGGAACAGGGAACAGGTGCGGGAGATAAGTAACAAACAAGGAAGGGCTGGAGCGCCCTTAAGAGGAGGGGTTTGCGATCGTGACAGTTGTATGCTTTTATAATTTACCTTATTCCATTTAACTTTGTTTTACATAAAGGAAAATGTGCATGTGGCTTTTATCCTTGGCTTGCAGTTGTGCAAGCTATTGTGCAGTTGTGTACCTAGCCTTTGTCTTTCCTAGGTACACAACTGCATCTTCTGTTTAAACCTGGCTTTCAATATACCGTGCTGTCAGATTACCATATTTTCTACTCAATACAACATTACTGGCAGCTCTGTTGTTTTGTGTCAAGTTTACAAACCCTCAGTGACTAGCTCTTTGACAGAGCCCTTAATTTGACAACAGATAGTGTCAACAACATAAGGAACCTACAGTTTTGTCAGCTTCAAATGGATCTGGTCAGTGGGAAACTGTCATGTAATGAAACACAGAGCACGAGAACATGATTTAGTCACAGTAGTGTTGTTTTCATTAACGCACACACATCATCTGCGATGGCACCTCTTAGACAGGACTGCATTTCAAATTATTTTGGATTTTATCTCTAGGTTTTGCAGTTTAGTACACTATACAGCATTTACTATCCTGTCTTGCCGTGGTTTTTAAATATTTATTAATTTTTAAATATTTGTGAGATAACACATAGGAATGTAAAAAACAAGAATGTCCGTTGTCTGAAATAATTTGTTTAACCTCATAGATTTTTAAAACTTATTAAGAATGTTGACAGACAGAGTGAATGATATGAATGATACATTTTATGCGGATGTGCTGAACACGAGAAAGGTTAGAAAAGAGAGGAGGCCATTGGATCTGATCCAATGTTCTGATCCAGATGTTTCTTGAAAGAAGACAGGGTATCATCTTCCACACTGTGTCTGGATAGCTTGTTCCAGACTCCCAGAACCCTTTGTTTAAAGACTGTTGTATTTTTCAATCATCTCCATCCTGCTGGACCTGCTGTCAGTAGGGTTTCAGAATCTGTGTGATTACCCGCTATCCTATATCCTTGAAACCTAGAAAGTGTAGAAATCTTTCCTGTTCCAGTGTTCGCCTGCACTAGAGTTGATTTAATAGTCCATAGCAAGATATTTCTGTCTCGCAGCCCAGTTACTTCTACAGTGTTTTGTTCCTCCTCTGAGGCGATCCTTCTCTCTATTTTTATTGTGATTCTTTTTATCCTGACTTGAGGTCTGCTTTTTCCTGTGTCCCAACCCCATGAAAGCTGGCCTAATTCATTCTAATTCAAATCCAAATTCAAATTCAAAGGGCATTATTGGCATGAACGATTAATTGCAGTGTTCCCAAAGGAGATGCACTTAACACAACATATACAGTACAGTCCAAATATATTAATGGACATTTAAATACAACCCATAAAGCATTATTGAGAGACAGGCTTGCTGTCTGTTCCTCAGGCTGGGGCAGGAGATCACATACTGGGCTGCAGCTCTATTGCATTTCCTAACCTCCCCCTTTCCCAGTGGTACTGGGAGCTGTTCTTATTCTGTCAGGAGACAAGATTTGTTATTTTAGAGAAGAATGTCTAATCCCTGAGTATTTTTCACAGTGCAGCCCTCTGTGGGCAGCCAGGTCTGCTTGTGTCCAGTTTCTGTGGCCAGGCTATGGTCATTGAGCCTGTCCTCTCTGGACAGCCATGTCTCTCTTTTCAAGTTTCTGTGGCCAGGCTGTGGTCACTGATCTTAGACTTACTCTATGCAGAATTTGTTTCTACCTGCTGTCTCTTAAGCTGATCAGATACTCAGCTAGTGTTTATTGTCTTTTGACACAATATAATTATATTCACTTTGTATCTCACTTTACGTCCATAAGGAATACATTTCAACCTCCTAATGCTAGTTTTTGATCAGTCAAACCACATCAGTGCTCTCTATTGGTTTCATTGGATTATATCAAATTGCCTGCCACACACTATTTAGTTGTGTGAGACATTTAAAATTTCTGTTAACTAAACGCCATTACAGTCTTCCTTGTTGTGAGGTATTAAAGTCAGCCCTATACAGTACCTGCTAAATAGTAATAATAAAGAAGTTATACAACATACAGGACGAGTTCTGACCTTCTAGCAAACCCCTCTCAATCTTCCCCACACTGTTCCAAATGAGGTGACACTATAACCCACACAAGAGCAAAGCTTTCTCATTTGAGTCATTTGTTTCTTGCAATTTTCAAACGCTAGGTTTGTGATCTGAATGTCTGTAAATTATGATCGACAACTTTGACCTCCAGGCGTGTAGAGACTGTTAGCCCAAGTGATTCAGTATTCTGACTTCTCAAATGAACGTAACCCTGAGCAATGTGTCTCATAAAAATCAGCTCTGTGAATAACTGATACTTGTGCTACATTATTTTTCACTAAATTCTCTTATTACGTTATGTATAACAACAGGGGTTAGAAATTTATGCATGGTGTCTTAGCAATAAAGATGCAGTTTACAGTAAGATCGACGTTTCTGATGTGGTTTTCTCGATTTTCTTCAACAATTCTAATGAGCATTAATCAGCTCTGTGCAGGCCAAAGCACGTTTAAGGTAATGTATGTAAGTGTAACGTGTATCTCAGATGCTCTGGTGTCCGTGTGAATGCAGTGAAAACTGTTGCTGAAGTCTGATTGTGTTACTCTGCATTGAAATGCAAATGATTCCCGTGGCTCTAGGAAGCTTGTGCTGCGTCAGCAAGTGAGTGAACACAGACCAGGGTGGGACAGAGGACAATAAATTGTGGTAAATGAGCCAACAAGTGCAGCTGAGCTGCAAAATGAGAGAAAGGTGAAAAAATTTCCCTTACAACAATGTGTTCAAGGATCATACACTGCCTCAAGATGGAAGTTATCAAGAATGGTTTAACAAAAACGCACAATTGCAGAAAATAGGTTCCATAATGTGCCTGATGACAAAGCGTATAACTAATGTGCAAGATGTGAAAATGCTGTGCGCAATATATTAGTGAGCACAATTAGGTTTCAATTGTTTAGCACTAATTCTTTAAAGTAAAATTGATTGTTTAGTGTTTTTATTAACACCAGCTATCATGTTTTAATTAGTAACCAGTTTAGTTCAGCACATGAAAACAGTTTGCTGGGTCGAACTTTCTCCATTTTAGCATTAAATCTGTTAGGCTCCTCTATACAGAACAAGCTTTGTAAAATCTTTGAATGATCTCTTTATTGTGCCTGAATGTAAACATCTATACTGTGCATCAAAAGAAATTTTCACCTGCAACAAATTCCAAAAACAAATTAGAAAATGTATTATATTTTCAGTTAATCTGATTGTTAATTGTTTTTAGAGTATTACATTGCTGGTCTGTGTTCACTTACAGAACTCTCTATATCTAATCATACAAAGTGGATGGAAGAAGAGAAAACAGAATGAACATAAAATAAACATTTTCAAGAAAAACATTATGGAAAGTCATCTTGGGACTGGACATTTGCATGCATCTTTAGCAAAGTTTTCACAATGAAAATTTATAATAATGCTTGCTGGGACTCAGGATCCCTATGAGATTTTTGGTTGAAAAGGCAAAGCTATAACTGAATCAATTTGCAATAAATGCTTGAAATGATAATGAGTGAAATGGAGCCTATTTCGTGTTCAGGAAGCGAATGTCATTAGTGATTAATTAGAGAGCTGTAGAAATGGTCTATCATTTCCCAGCATGAACGGACATGGTTGTCAAAGATATTGATTGGCAAGGCAGTAAAGCCAAAGATGCAAAATTCTAAAATCAAAAGCATGGGTGATGCTGTGCAAACTGACTTTGATTGATTAATTTCACTAACAATAATATAAACATAAATTAAGACAATAATGTGGCGGAATTTATGGAAATGATCACAGAGTGATGAATCTTATCTGTAACGCACAAAAAGGCAGAAATGTGATCTATGTAACCACTCCCTCCAGTGCCAGTTCATATAGAACTGGTTAATGTAACATTTGACAGAATCTTGAATTATATGTTAATTGAATGTCTGTTACATCTTCAGTTATATTTCTCACAATAAAGTGATGTCCAGAAGTTTATTATATGGCAAACTGGGGTCAGGGTGCTTCCAGCAGGCCAATTAGGGTGGGTTCAGGAAAGCTCTGGGCATTAATAAGAACTAATCAAATAACAAAGCCTTTTTCTTAAATGCTTATACTGTATAAAATGATAAAGAAGAAAACGTGAGACCCCAAGGCAACTGTATTTGCAGGTAACTATGATTATAGAAAAAAAAGAAAACATGGTAGTTGAAGATGATGGGGGAAATTATAAAATTTATAGGTAGATG